TAATATTTAAGGTGCCTTGCATGTAAACTGTGCTTGCCATAGTACATTTAAGCTAACACCTGATATAGAGTTTATTGACCAAGATGCTAAACCTTTGGAAGAGGACATCCTCATAAGATGAGTGTAGGGGGAAATGTAGGCCCATTGCAATCATTATTGCAATATTCTACAGTAAGACTGCAATTTCATATTTTCCTAATATTATGCATCCTGACCTTAGCAACATTTTGTAATATGTCTGTTATGGAGTTATAACTATCAAAAAGCAGAAAACTCTCCATAGCTGCACCCTGAATTTCTCTGCATGTCAGTTCATAGTTTCTGTGGGGCTGATTCAGGGAGAGAGGGTTTAAGCGCCCTCCTCATGAGCACCTTTGTGTTCCGGAGATCAGGGGATGAGAATGGGCGGATAGGATGAGAACAGTAGGCGAGGACGGTGCCGCTGAGAGGGTGAAGAAGGTGATTACTGGGGGGTACGTAGAGAGAAAAAGGAACAAGGAAGCAAGTTGATGATTTTTTTTTTGTGGTATAGCAGACCCTTTTCAAATACTCACTTATCAGTCTTCATTCAGTTTGTAGTTATTTTCAATCACTTTGTCAGCCTCTTGAAGCCTGTCTTTCTCCTCAAGTATTTGGCCTGTGCTCTTGTATTTCTTTTTTTACCTGTCCAGCCTTTCACCTTCATCTTCAGCAGAACTCATTGCAGAACACAGAGCATCAGTGAGCTGATCTCATCCTTATTCATAGACTTGAGAGCGTTTCATTTTATTTCCAAACTCTCTCTGCGTCACTTATTGCACAGCCTTCTGGCTCTGCTTTCAACATCTTTGTTTCACAGATTTTGTTTAGCTTTTAAGTCCTTTTTTTACTCATCTGACTGCTATGCGTGCTCTGAAAAAAATCACATCACAGACAGAAAGGCTTGGTAAGCTTTTTAGAGCCAGTCAGGGTGCACTATTCCTCTGTCATAATTACTGCTGAAACAAGCAGCTCTGGGAAGGTTCAGTGTTGGTAAACCAGTCATTACTGACAACCCCCCCTTACCTGCCATTGTCAAGATGCTCTCGCACTGTGGAGTTGTGATGATTGCACCTACTGAGGTGGCAGAGGAAGGATGAAGGACATAAAAAAGCAGGATGATCAGAGATGAGAAGAACCGAACAACTAGAGGTTTTAAATGGCGGTACGACTAAAACCTTAAGTGCCTCAAACCAAAACTGCTTTATCATCCTTTTTGGTTTCCAGGTGAGTTTACTAATGTACAGCTTAAAGTGGTGAGCTTTAAACATATTACACAAGCCAAACCCTTTCAGAGATGATTATCCTGTGCTTAGGTCCTACTCACCAGGTTGGTTCTGCCCTTTAACTCAGTACTTGAGCCTTTTCATCGTTCACCTTCAGGAGTCATTTTATTAATGCAAGGAGTGTTTGTGTCCGCTCGCAAACCTTTTTCCTGTCAAAACTTGTTTTTTTGCCCCACCTGTAGCTTGTTCGCTACAAACCAGTTTTTGCATTTAGACGAAACCTTGGCACTGCCTTTGTTTGGCAATAAACCTTCCAAGGTCTCTAAAAGATTTCCTTTGCATTACTTTACAATTTAACCTTCTCTTTGGAAAAACATGCCCCTGTGCAGGCAGTATTTTATTCTGTTAAACCAGAGTTTAGGATGTATCCACCTAAGTTTGATACATGAGTGATGACGTTTCTGTTTAAGATAATCTTAAAGACGTAAAAGAACAGTCTTTTTGAAATCCATAGCCATCCGGCCTTGAATGGCCATTAACAGTTTTTTGCGTGAGGCAATAGGCACAGCAGCAGAAGAGTATTTGGGTTTTCCATAATGAGTGAGAGTGGGAAAGGACTTGATATAAGGCTGGGTTTTCTATTATTTCTGTTGTTCTGTTACCTAAAGAATGAAATTCATTACTTTAAATCAAATTTTGAAAAGGCTACCAACATTTCCAGCATGCTCTACAACAGACAGAGGTTTAGATTTGAAAGGCATTAAATGGAGCGCCTTTGCTGTGCTCTTAGCCTTCCTATTATCTGCTGAAAGTCTCTGTCTCTGTATGTATGGTATCTTCATTGATCAGTAAAAGAAAGGATTTTTGACTTGAAGAATTTCCAAGCAGAAAATAGTCCAGTTCCAATCACCCTCTGTGTTCTCGGTGTATCTCTAGATAATTCTTGCAGGCCAGCAAACACTTTTTACTGGTTGTTCTTCACTATGTACTCTCCTATGTATATTATTTGCATGACCCAGCTTGGTTTATCTTGTAAGGTGGCTTACTTCATGCGTTTTCAGTGCACCTGTCTTCGAGTATGCTTGTTTTCTTCCTCTTCTACAAAGACCTGCGAATGTGTTCGAAAGAGAAAGGTGAGACAGCTGCTAGCATACAGCAACTTCGACCCAGCAGGTGGAAACAGGTGTCGTTACTTACAGGTTTTGCTGCAAGCACCTGCCCTGGGGCTGAAACAAACTGGTTCTTGGAAAAACAACACCAACACAGCTACATATGGGAGTGAACCTATTTATTTTCCTATTACTTCATTTATAGCTTGAAGCTTTCATTTAAAGATAAAGTGAGAAATAATTACGTGTTATCTTTTTACTCTTGTACGTTGGACTGTGTGTTCACAATCAACATTTTTTAAAAGAATTTGATTTAAAAAAATTCCAGTAAGGGCTCATGTTTTTTATTATTTTTTATTCCTGCATTCAGTTTTTGATGTCTTCAGCTTTCAGATATCAGAGAAGTTGCTGTCTGTCAGATAAGGTCTTGACAGGAGTCTACTGAAGTTGGATTGAGGTCAAGTAGGAGTTGGAAACATACTGCAGCTTGATCATTACTGTGCCTTCAACTTTTATTGACACCCCTGGTAAAGATGTAAAAAAAGCCTCTAAACAAATTCATATTTTATTGCAGTGGCATAAGCCTACAGTGGAAACATTTGGAAAAATCCAAACTTAGAATAAATTTAATGAGTGGGAAAAGAAGTATTTTTCCAAAATTACAAGTGTCCTCATTATTAGAATCCCTGCTGTTAATACTTGGTACATTGCTTTTGTGTTCTTCTGTAACCTATCATGAGGTTGAAGCATTAAGAGAGGTGGACTTTTCACTATTCATCTTTGTATGATCTCTTTATTTTAGGTTGTCTCCTCTCCTGCTCAGCCCACAGGTTTTATAGATGAACTGAGATAGCCATTTAGGAAGGAATTTTTGTATCTGGTGAACCATTTCTATGTTTAACACATTTTAATTTTTCAGACAGAGACCAACATTTTAAATAATGCATGGCACCTTTCTAGGAGTTTCTTAGTAGGCCTGTGAGATATCTTTGCTTGTTTTCGTTGCATATAAAAAGCAGGATGGAAATTAATTTTTACATGTCTGATTAGGTGGGAGGATTAATTCCCCATACATTGTTACAGAGTTATGGTACCTGCACAAGGCTAGCTGTAGCTCCAATAATTCCAATAAAGACGTTGTCTTCAGGGCAAATCATCAGTAGTTCTGGAATGTTGAGGGACAAAGCTCATCCATGGGCCAGGTTCAACAAATCAGCAACCCTTCCCCTCCCATAAACACCATCGGCCGAGGGTCCAGCTTCCTCTCTGCTGTTGCTTCTACTCCTCTCCCTGTTGAACTGCTAATGGCACTAAACAATGCTGGAGCTCTTCAAGTAGGAGTGAACTTTTCTCTTCTACAGCTGAATTTATGGATGGTCATGCAGAGCTTTAAAGTTTGGCCCAGTGGGCAAGGAGAGGTTTTTTGTTGTAGCCAAGTCATTTTGGGCACAGTCTCAGCAGTTTACTGCAATGCATCATGAACATCAAACTATTATTATGCATAATGAAGCAAAATTCAGTTTCAGTGCCCACCACAGTCTTTCCACTGTGAAAATCACTGATACATATGTGGGGGCTGTTGGCTGCTTCTTCTGTGGTAAAGGAAATTTCTCTCTTGAGCAGCATGAACATCTCACATCTTCATCATGTTGTTTCCCCATCCTTGCTCAACCCAATTTTATTTTTCCAAAAAACATAATATTCTAAAGCTGAGCCACAGTAAGTTTGCTTTCTTGATGTTTGAATTATGGGAATCATGGACATGCTTACTTCGAAACTACAGAGCGAAAGAAAAGTCAAAACTTTCCCTTTACCTTTCTGCTGTTCTTTCAGAGCTCTTTGCTGTTTTATCCACAAACATCAGCTGTCAGAGAACCTGCCAGATAATAACTAGATAGGACTTTTTTTGAGAGTGAGTTTTACCTAACGCTGCACTTAAAAGCCAGCTGGCTTGGTTACAGAAAGAAAGGAAAGCAAATATTTGGGGCCACTGATTAAAGAAAACTACAATGCATGCATTATAAATAATTCTTTTTTTTGGCAGTTTTTTCTGTTTTTCAACATTCATAGAACTTTGTTGTCTCCATTTTTAATTTATAAAAGACTGGGGTTAAAAAAAAAAACAACAAATGTGATGGTGTGTGGTAGAGCATGTATGTGGAGGCTATTGGTGCTCGATGCAGCCATTCAGGGTTTGACTCTTGACCTCAGGATCTTTGCTGCATGGCTTCCCCCTTCACTCTTTGCCCATTTTCTGTCTACCCTAACCCCTAACATAAGTAATGGAGATTGTTCCATAAGTCTTGTTGGTTATTCAAATGCAATTTTGCAAGCTTAAGACATGCTGCCATATTTGTTTTGGAGCAAGTCTTTTTCCTTCAATCCTTCTAAACAAACCCTATGTGTACGGTCTTTTTCTAATTGTCATTCTATAAATATTAACATTTACTATGCTAACTGGGGCGTTTGGGGGGAGTTTGACATCAAGATTTTTTTGTCATTTCTCTGATCATTGCATAGTTTGACTTTGGTGAATCTGCTGAAATGTCCACTCCTGGGAAGATTGTTAAAGATTTTAAATGGTTTCCACTTGTGAATATTTTTTCTCATACTTCATAAATTTAGAAAATGGTTTTATTTCCTGGGCTGCATGGTGGCGCAGTTGGCAGCACTGTCACTTTTCAGCAAGAAGGTCCTGGGTTCAATTCCTGGCCAGGGGCCTTTCTGAATGGAGTTTTTATATATCCCCCCCCCTTCATGCCTGAGTTCCTCCCACAGTTCACAAACATGACTGTTAGGTTAATTGGTGTCTCTAAATTGCCCTTAGGTATGAATGGTTGTGTGCATGGTTGTTTTTGTGTCTATGTTGCCCTGTGATGGACTGGTGACCTGACCCCGCGTCTCAGACTGTTGGAGATAAGCCCCAGGCTCCTTGTGACCCTGTATGGAAGAAGCTGGTATAGAAAATGGATGGATGGTTGGATGGTTTTGTATCCTTCCAAGATTGATGGACAGCAACAGTTGCTGATGTGTCTCTCCAGATCAGCAAACTGAGCTGTGCAAACTTCTTGATGATAGTGTAATTAAGAACATTCCATTTGCACCGGCTGGTTTTTACTTTTCCTCTTAAGTTCATCTTAAAACATTATGCTCTTAGTTTTCCAGATATGACTCTTTCTGTTTGCCTAATAAGTGTTGAATCTGTGTTTGAGATTTTGCACAGTTGAAGCTATGTATCATTTGCTTAAGAACCTAGCAAAGACCAAATAAATTTTATTGTGTCCTGCACTGAAACCTCCCTTTTTCTGCCTTTGTCAGTTACTTTACGCCCTTGCTCTTCCGTCATTTGCTTGCTGCTTCTGTTTCTGAGGATGTGTCTGTAGCAAATAAACTAGACCATAGGAACACTGCCATTGTGGAAGCTTGATTTAAATGGAATAAATTCTTCTCCTGTCCTTTACTGTGCAGAAGTCTTTAAGATACATTACAACTCCTGATCGAGTGTGACACCTGTACTTGCTGAGCAGGACGATGATTAAAATTAATCATTCTTGCCCAAGGTGACAGCTAAAATTATCAAAAGTTTACTGCAAATGCAAAGCATCAGTTGTGCAATGTTAATGGGTTTTTACATTTTCTTGTTAGTTATTGAATGCTCTTGTGAGATTGAGGCCTTTAATCACTTTCAGGAAGAGGACATATTCTTAATAAAGCAGCATCTGTTGGATAAAAGCAGAAATGTAGGACATTATTTAGAAGTCATTTATTAAACCTGTCTGTTATTCTGTACTTGTTAAAATATGCAGTCTGAGAATCAACCGTACAGCAGACAATAAAGATAGTAAGGATTTTACATTAAATAAATTAAATATGCTTTTTAATACAATTATTCCTAATCCGATGGAGTGAGTGTCAACTTACACCCTGAGTATCTTCACCGTGGTTTAGACCGGTGTGCCTCATCTATACAGTCAAAATGTGTTAATGAGACAGGAAAACTAGATGCTTTTGTGCTAATATTACATCTCTAAATACCTTCAAGATGAGAAGAGCATCAATGACAAACTCCAACAGCACTAATCAGCTGATAAAAAGGATGCTTTTCTTTAGCCAGCTAATTAAAAAATAGCCAGACAGAGACACAAACATAGGAATTCACACTATTTAATCATACTGTAATAACATTATATTTAGTCCAGTTTTGTGTTGAATCTATACCATTAGGAATTATTGCAGTTCTGATGGCAAAACTCTAATACTAATGGTGATAAATTTGCCTTTCAGTGTAATTTAAACCACTGTCTTCCAATATTTTTTGCAAATCAACAGATATCAGGAAGAGAACAGCGAACTTTCACAAGCCTGCTGCATCCTTGGGTACAATTTATGGAAGCCTGAAGGTGCCATGTTCATGTATTCAAACAGTTATATGCAAAGATAAACAAGATGATTTCGCCCAGCCATCATACCACTGTGGAGGAAGAACGGTTCTGTGTGAATATGTTTGTGGTGCAAAATATTCGTATCAAGCCCAACACAAAATTAAAAACTTTGTGAAGATGCTGGCTAGCCATTCAGCTTGTTTGCAAATGCACTTGTGGACAAAGGACCCTGATTTTTGTAGACATCTGTGGTTTGATGGAACTGAAACAACTCCTGAGAGAGCACTATCCCAACTGTAAAGCACATCAGTGGCTCCATCATGTTGTATGGGTTTTTAGGTGAGGGAGGGACAGGTGCATTTCACAAAGTAAACCTTGTCATCAGGGGAAAACATGATGTGAAAATACTGAAACAACATTGTTAAATGTTAGCCAGGAAGTTAAAACTGCAGCGCATATGGGTTTTTCAAATGGATAATGACACTAATCATACAACCAAGTTAGTTACAAGTAGGCGTTAGCAAAAGAAAGTCTATGTTTTGTTGTTGCCATCACAAACCCCTGATCTCAGTCCCATAAAAAAAAATTGCACCCAGCCAAAAAGTTGTCTGTGAGCAATGTAGTCAACAAAGCTGACTCGGTTACCACAGTTCTGTCAGGAGGAATGGGCCAAAGTTCTGGCAAACTAAACCTAAAATGTTTTACCTGGGTCATAAAATTTACTTGGCCATTCAACAAAAAAAAGGAAATGCGTTTAAACTTCTGAATTCAAATAAAGTTTTAATAAATTCTCAAAAAAATATATTCAATATTTTGGCATTTAGCAAATGGAAATATTTTTGGTAATCCTAACTGACCTAAAACAAAGAAAGTTTAGCTCTGTTTGTATGTCAGACAGTGAGGTATGTTTCATTTTATACAGTCTATGTAAATATTTTGTATCAACTGTGGGTTCGTTTAACCTTGTTCTTGTATTGACTGCTTTCCTACTTCCTCATCCAATTCATGACGGTTCTTTTGAATATCCATTTTCTGTGCCTCTAATCTGTTGTGCCACATTCAGTATTGTTTGTCATCAAAGCTTTGTGCAGAGAAATCTGACTCTTTCCCTTTAGGTAATGTATGATTTTTAATATAAATATTAGAATTTTATGTCTGACACTAATGATAAAATATGTAAGAAAAATACCAAATTACCTGAAAATCTTAAAGTTTCTGGAAATCTTTGTCGACCCAGGTTATTAAAAGTACCATGTGCATTTCCTGCACTCAAGTATGTTATCTTATAGGGTGAGAAACACATTAAGGAAGAGGTGACCCCAACATGTGGGTGCAGTTAGTCAGTGTATGTGGTTCCTCATTATTTTCTTTAATATTTGAAAATCTGTGTAATACAGTAACAGTTGTACTCATTGTGTGAGAGAGTCCATAACTACCCAGAGTTTATCTTGACTAAATTAAAAAATGTGTAGCTTCTATCTGAAAGTCAAACGAAACTAAATGAGCATGAGAGCAAAGGCTAATATGAGAACACAAGCTCGACTATTACACCATCTGGTCTTCCCTGTTTCAGTGACTCTGACTGGTCTGCTTTCTAGTTTTTGCCTTGAAATAACAATTTTCTTTGTTGCCAGATTCCTTATCAGAGAAATTCTGCTGTAAGTACTGAATTCTGTGCTTGATTAAAGACAGATACTGATACTATGGAATTCCTGGGGATTGTTGACATTAATGTTCTGGTCTTGATTTTAATTTTATAGTTAAAGAGTGATAGATTGACGAAACAAAATATGGTTGGCAGTTGAATTGCTGACTGTTACGTTTTCAAGAATATTTAAGTCTGGGATAAAAAAAACTGAAGAAACGGAAGAGCAACCTCGCAGATCCTTTCATCGGGCATCTTCCCCAGGTGGGTACCTTCAAAATGATCCTGTCTTTATTACCTTTTATCAGGCATCGTGGGTTGAATGTAATATGCATTATATCAGTTTCAGGGCTTTCATAATAAATAAGAGGCTTGGAGAATCAGCCTGTTATTTAAATATTCCGTTTCCCCACATCTTTTTGGACCAAAGGTTGGTTCTGAATATGTAGGAATGACAGCAGCATGTTTAGTGTCCGCCTCACCTCAGGGGGCTGCTGCAGTGGTCTGTCAATTCTGCTGCATTTCAGTCCTAAAACAGAGCTGCTCCTGCAGGCTCCAAGCAGGAGATCAAACACTTGGCAGGTACACCATACATGAATAGTTTTTTTCCTATTTCTGTTTTGCTTTTTCATATTCTCTGTTCATTACTTTTGTATAAAGAAGCACGGCAGGCTTATTCATCTGAAACATGGCCAGGGGGGAGACTCTAGGACTTTATAAACGAATCATTTGAAAGAGGGCGGGTGGCTTTGTTATTTGAGGTTTTATCATAAAACATTCCCACTCGATGTTTCCGGTGGATTTGATTCTTAATTGAAAGCTGCCTTAGAGCAATGTTTTATAATTTGTGAGTGGATGGGGATGAAGAAGAAATCCTGACTCTAAGCAGGCAATATTCACACATCTCCATGTTGTCCCCTGAGCCTTCCACAGCTCAGTTGTTTGTTTTCTAGCTGCTTCCTGTCATTTTTACTCACGAATCCTACTCCTGTTCCCATTGACATCACCTAGGCAAAACTCCATTGACAGACCCTGAAAGATTTTATTGACTTTTCATTGACACAAGCAGTAATTGGCTTTTAATCACCGCTATACATCATGTTTTGAAATTCAAATTAGCAGTGTCAGCTCAGAGAAAAGGCCCTCTTCAACACTCTTCTGTCATTCGCAGATGCAACAAGAGGAGCGTTTCAATATTGTAACATCTTGTCCGTTCTCACCGTCTGAAGGCAAACACGAACAAGTTGTTTGATGCACGTCTGCAATCTGAACACCAGCTCTTGATGGAGTAACATTTGGGCTGTCAGCAGCTTTTTTTGTGACAGCCAGCATTTATAAAATGTTTGCACTCGTGCTTCTGCAGCAAGCTCTGCTGGAAAAAAATTACATTTACAAGAAAACTGATTTAATTCCTGTGAGTTTTTGTGAGAAAGTTTTAAAAGCACAAGGATAATCTAAAGAAACTCACACAAACATACAAGTCTGAAAGCTGTAGTTGTGTCAAATGATTTATCAAATAGTCTGTAATTTATTTTGTATAAATATTTAAATGAAAAGACATGTCTTGGGTCTTTTTTGATTAATTTTAATGATTTAACTATAAGGAGCAAAAATGTATCTGGACAATGGTTTTTTTAAGCTTTATTTTTAGATGGACTGTCTTTGGCAGGTAGCCACATTAGCCATGAAGATGTG